ATTTGAAGTGGTGACAGAGAAGGTACAAGAATTCATTTTCCTTCGATACTTACTGAAAAGATGATTTAGATCGGCCGTGTTTCTTTATATATTTCTTATATTCGTTTTCTACCTCCATATCCTTGTCATTTCTATTGGGCTTTAGGTAGTTTGTTCGTACTTGTTTGGGTTATATTTCTTGGCGCAGAACACGATCTTCTTCTCTTTCAATACTTAAATGAGCAACGTATCCATATTCATGCATTTGAGGCCCAAGACAGTGCCAGATACTCGTCCAGTCATAGATTTCGTGTTGTCCCTTTTGCCGCTCGAAGTTGCTTTCCGACCTCCTTGCACGACCTTACTCCAACTAGGCAGCACCGAGCTAAGAGTTTCAATATGTCCTTTGGAACAATATTTCGACTTCAATGGAAAGTTTTGGGAGTTTGGAAGCTATTGCTTTAGCATATAGCTATAATGATTGGATTTATGTTATGGCAGGAGAACATGGCCATTACAACTTGCTCCCAACTGCTTTCGAGGGTTTCTCACAACCATTGGAGGACTTATTTACCGAGCATTATTTCGAATACGAGTGCCTGAGACAAACCTACATTTTGGAAGACTTGTATTCATCCCTAAACGGCAAGTTGCTATAAAGAGCATGGGCAGTTACAGCTTAGGAGATTGGACCAAGCATGATGGTTATTGGAAATACAACAAATCGATAGAGAAACCCCTTTTGGATGACAGATCATACGAATTAATAAGGCTAGACAACGACCTCCAGGTATTGCTGGTGTCAGATCCAAGCGCGGACCTTGCAGGAGTCTCACTGGATGTCGGTGTAGGGCATATGGCTGATCCAGTTAAGATTGGTTCTTGTTGACATAGAAAAAAAACCTGACTCTCTCTAAGGACGACATGCCTGGACTTGCTCATTTTTGCGAGCATTTATCTTTTATGGTACGAATTGCGTGTTGCATACATACTCGTTCCTCTGACTGTCTTTTTAGGGGACAGAGGATTTTCCTGTAGAAAACGAATATAAGAAATATATAAAGAAACACGGAGGAATGACAAATGCATCTACCAGTAGTAGTACAACTACCTATCACTTCCAGGTACAATCACCTTTCTTGTCCGGAGCAGTACATCGCTTTGCTGGCTTTTTCCACTCTCCTTTGTTTGCGTCTAGCTGCGTGGCGCGAGAGGTAAATGCTGTCAACTCAGAAAACTCCAAGAATCAGGTATAATTCTCAAATCTCTTGGATTGTGGGACCTTCCTGATGATTCTAATATAGCAAATGGACAATCGAAGGATCTATCAACTTTGGAAAAGTCTTAGTGACACAAATCACGCGTGGAACAAATTCGGGTGTGGTAGCAAGTCGACGTTGATGGAAAATGATTCAACAGATGGGGAGGCACAGACAAGGGCACGAGTTGTTGAGTGGTGGAAGAATAATTACTGCTCCAGCCGAATGAAAGTAGCGATCATAGGCGCAGGTGAACCAATAGTTCCGAGTAAAGGGCAGTTCCTGACCTCTTTCCAGACCCGATGGACGCCTTAATCGAATTAGCATGTCGCCATTTCTCACTGGTCCCAAATAGAAACCTCGGCCCATTGCCCTTGACGAAGGAACACCCTTGGGATGCGACTGCTCAACCAGTAAGAATCACACAGAAGTCAGATCTCGAACTCACAATGTGATAGAAAATAGTCTTTGTGGAGACAGTCCAGGATATCCAGCGGGTAGAGATTAATTTCCCCATCCCATATCAGGCTCCATTATATAAGAGCAGGCCGTATCGTTATGCAAGTCATTTAATTGGACACGAAGGTCCAGGGTCGGCATTTTACCTGTTGCATCAACGAGGACTCGCAACCTCTCTGTCATGCGGGCTGCACGCTGCAGGCAGAGGTTTCTCATTGCTTCATATAGACATCACCCTTACAAAAGCTGGCCTAGGTGTGCAATTTGTCAATTATCTTGTATGATGGCTAACAATCATAATAGAGCAGTACTTGGCAGTATTATCGGTTCTGTTCCATTATATTACGCTGCTACGCAATGCGTTACAGCAGCCTCATCACTTTGAGGAGATTCAGCGGATGAGCGAAATTAATTTCCTCTACACATCAAAATATAATCCCGATGCATATGCCAAAATGTTATCACAGGTGATGAACGACGATATAGGACGCGAACACATCTTATCTGGGGGCGTTTTTGACTGGAAATTTGACCCACTCAATATCGAGCACCTTATTTCTTGTCTGACGCCTCAACAAAGCAGAATCTTTGTTGCGGCCAAAAATTTCAATGTCCTCCAGCTTAGTGGGAGTTGGGAAAAGGAGCGGTGGTATGGAACCAAGTTCTTGCAACAGGAGTTCTCCCCAGCCACCTTGAAGGTGCGTTGAAATAAACGTGGAGAAAGTGGATACACTCTCACTGCAGATTTGTTCAGAAATTATCTTCCGAGGAAGTCTCAGCATTATACCTTCCCGGTAAAAATGAGTTTCTTCCAAGTTCCCTAGATGTGGATAAGATCCCGGTTGAAAGCGTCAGTAGATTCCCGTTCATATGGCTTGAAGATTGATTTCCTCTAGCCTCTCAAAGCCCCCGAAATTGCTAAATCCACCGAACGGTACATCTTATGGCACAAGAAAGATGATCAATTTTGGCAGCCACGAGGCTCAATCACTGTCAAACTTCAGAGGTAGTACATGCCTCTCCGTTTGTCGTATAGATCTGTTGACTTTGTTCAGCCCTTTGATGACAGGAAACCTGTCGTATGTGATACGAACGCGGTACTGTCCTTTGCCGTGATCATGTGGAATGGCCACTCATAAGTCCGATCAGAATCTATGTCGGAATGGTCTTGGATGCCTTGCAAGGACCTGCTTATATGACAACCTTGGCTGGAATCTTCTTCGATATCTATGTCGACGTTGACGGGATCGTAGTCGAAGTCGTGGGATATAATGATAAACTACGAAAGGCGCTCGATATGATATTACTACATCTTGTAAACTTGGAGGTCCGCAGAGAACGATTTGAAGTGGTGACAGAGAAGGTACAAGAATTCATTTTCCTTCGATACTTACTGAAAAGATGATTTAGATCGGCCGGGTCTACGATAATGTCTATATGAGACAATCGGGAGAGGTCACCGATATATTTCTCTCACAAGCCAGGTCGGAGAAGCTTATGACCGCTCCCGACAAGCGAAAGGAGCTAAATGGTAGGTTCATTCACGTAAGATCTTGACATTTTATTCACGAAGGACTCTCCAGAAACTACCATTGAGCATATCCAACTACACAAGAAACAGCTTTTTGAAGCGTCTTTCTTCATCTTATTGGTCCATGGTAATATATCACGCCGCGTGAGTTTGAGCACTTGAAATTTTGGGTTTCATTAATAATTCTACCAGCAAGCCATCGTTTGCGCAGAAGAAATCGAAAGGATTATTTCCGGGAGGTCACTTCCTTTATCCCAGCGAGCTAGTCATCGCACGCTTCTCTTGCCAACAGGTTAGATTATTTTCTGGTCCTGTCCGATGAATGAATAACGGTGATTTAGGGTGTAATTATGCGTATGACGCGCTCGTGCCGAATGTCGATGAAGAGAATTCGGCTATATCATTCTATTGCCATGTGGGGGATGTGGCAGATCTCAGAACCAGGGCCCTCAACTCTTTATTGAGTTCGATGATCAACGAACCCTTCTTTAACGTGATAAGGACTCAGGAGCAGCTCGGCTACAGCGTGTCTTGTATATCATGGGCATCAACGTCTAGTTTAGGCCTTCGATTCCGTGTTCAAAGCACCCGACATCCCAAGTTTCTGGAATACCGGATCGAGGAATTTATCAATACTTATCGGGAAACCCTCCGGTCAATGTCGCCGGAGGAATACCGTGAACACCGAAACGGCGTTGTGGAAAAGAAACGGAAGAAGTTGGTCAATCTTGGTGAAGAAAGGGCTAGATACTGGGGGCATATTGACAACGAATATTTGGATTTTGCTCGTGGTAAGTGTCAAAGAAATTGGGCTGTGGTACATTGAATCTGACTGGATTCGATTAAAGCGGAAAATGAAGGCCAAGAGGTTGAAACGCTCGAGCTGCAGGATCTCATTGACTTTTATGAACGCTTCGTGCACTCATCATCGCCGTTTAGGAGCAAACTTTCAGTTCGACTAACCTCACAGCAGATCACGAAGGGGGATGATGAATCAAATGGCTATCTCACTGAAGGGAACCGCCAGCCCGAAATATTTGAAGATATTCAAAGACTGAGGGAGAGAATGACGGTATCAGGTGCCGCTCGGCCAAATGTTTCATAAATTCGGTCGATCGAACTAGGCCAATTTCAGCGATAGTTGACTCGGAAGTATTTCCTGTTTCGTCTACAAAGACCCTTTATAAACCGTTAGAATGATCGACCCTTTTCTCCTCTACTTTGACTCCCC